GTGTGCATATAGACCGTATCCTCTTGCTGGTTCCTCATTAGCTTGGTAATGAAATCTGCGACGCGATTGGCCTCCTTCGGCATGTTTTGAATCTTAATCTCCCAATTTCTTTTGATAATGTCTATGTGTTGAAGGATTGTTGGAATCGTTGTTCGGTAGATTCATTGATTATCAGGTTTACTGCTTCCTTGTTATATGATTTTAAAATTATTTCATATCTCCTTTCATCCACGCCATTTTTAAACCTTCATGAAATCCCCAGAGCTCTGCTTCCAATAAGGTACATTTACCTATTTTCCTACCAAATCCCAGAGCCAGTTACCCTTATAGTCTCTAGCTATTGCTCTACACGTTGCATCTCCATTATTCGGGTTTCTAGACCCATCAGTGTTTACTTTGCAATAATTAATCTCTGGTTTTTGCCATCGGTATTGGGTATCCTTCTGGTATGATTATTCCAAGCTTTAAGGCTTCCGAATTTTCAACCTCCTGAGTAAATCTATATGTTTGTTGGATGATAGATTCTCTCTCAATCATTTCAGAATCGAACACTGTCTGATTTCTCTCTTCCAGATGAACCAAATAATAGAACTGATCAAAGTCGGCCAATTTTTCGTTCTTGCATTAGGGGCTTGTGTCGCATCAAGATTTTCAATAACCCAATCCTCCATACTCTTGCTTAGGAATCTATCCATTTTCCTATACTCGATCAATATTTTATATAAATCAAAAGGGCTCCTTTTGTTGGTCCCAACTATTGAATATATATCACTTCATATATTATATATATATATATTAATTAATTAATATTTCTTATTATCGTTTTCTCATTAATGTGTAAGACAGTCGCTGATGAGGTCAATTATGAGCTGTGCCCTCTACCCCATGCAGAATGCGATGCATATTTCACACTGAAAATGATTTTTTTTAAATTGTTTATAGGTCCTCATTTTATTATTATTAATTTCTTATCATTCTAAATATTGTTTAATCTTGATACTATGAATGAAATACATTAAGTTAAATTGAGAAGTTTGTCTCTATAACTAGTAGGTCTAGTAGGATGAAGCAGTAGATTCCTTAAGCAAGGTCCGAGGCTCAAACCCTGGCGTTTACGAATTGAGCAAACTAAGTTCAGAGGATCGCCCTCGCCTCTGCAGTATTCGATTTAGATTAGTCATTCATTAGATCGGATATAAGTGATTAATTTAAAAAATATCAACAATTCTATAAATAAATTATACTTAATATCATTTTCTTGGATTCTGATCAATTATAAATTATTTTATCTAATACTTTTACATAATTTTTTAAGTAACACATTAAATATTATTTTTTGTAATAATTTTGATGGGAAAAAATAGAATTATGTATTATTTTAATAATAATTGAAAGTACTTATTTACTTTCGAGCAGAATGTGTACGCTTAAGAGTTAAGACACGACAACCTATTTACTGTTGACAAGATAATCCACAGTGAAAAGAGTCCTTAATAATTGACGGGTAAATTACAACATTCTTAGTTGAACTTTATTCTCTTTTATTATACTAACTGTACTTTTTATATTTTTAATTTATTCACTAAACTTTTTAAATTGAATTTTTTCTATTCTAAGACGATGTATTATTATTTTAGATAAAAATCAAGGAATTAACCGTTTAACAAAGAAATCAAAAAGGGGAAAATAGAGAACTTTGCTCTTCGAGTTTTCAAAAGGGGCAACTCTGGCGATCAGATATGAACGTTGAGGAGTGACTTTGTGATGGAGGGACCAACATATCTCCGTTTGAGCTCCATCCAACAACGGTCGATGGAGATCGGAGAGTTGGAAGTCAAATGGTTTCAGTACTGATTCATTAAGATCATTGCATTTTTCCGATGAAACTAATCATGGATTCGTGCTCAAAAGGTAACAAACGTTTGAACTGGAAAGTTGGAACTCAACGGTCACCGGAGACCACTGTGGCAGCCACTGCGACGTAGCCACGACGAATCTAACCCAATGCTACCATTGAAACTTGAATGTGAGGGTGATAATTTTAATTTTAGAGTTTGGATGTATTTTAATATCTTAAATTTATTTTTTTATTATAATCCTAAATATATTAAAATATTAATAAAAATGATATGTTATGGAAAAAATAATAAAATAATCCACATCATCGATGAGTGAAAAGAAATCAACGAATTAGTTTAGTGAGTAAATTGAAAATATTAAAAAGTATAATGAGAAAACTAAGAGAAAAAGTAAAGTTCAACCAATAATAGTTTAATTTATCCATCATTGAAAGAACCGAAGAAAAACACGTGGTCCATGTAACCTATTTACTATTTGTTTTGACAAATGTATCTTTCTCCAACTTTCTTGCGGGTGCCACCATACGGTTTATACAACAATAGTATCTCAGTGTCTCTGTGTATATATATATATATATTTATTTATTTATTTATTTTAAGGTCTGTTTATTTTATTGAAAATATTTTTAAAAAATATTTTTTGAAAAATATTTTTAAAAAATATTTTTTGAAAAATATTTTAAGTTATTTTTCAGAAAACACAAAGAAAATTCTGTTGATCAGGAAAATATTTTACGTTGACCAACCAGTTTTCCTCCAATCAAAACTGAAAAAAGAAAGATATTTTCTTAAAAATATTTTACGTGAAATAAACGGACCCTTAATTTCAAAACAAAATTGAAAAGAAAAAAAAGATGGTTAGAAGTGATATATCACAAAAATCATTAACATGAACATAATTAACTACTAGAGATGGATGAATCTAAGACATTCCTTTATGTTTAGATGATATCGATCATATTCTTGTCACATCATTTTAGTAAAAGCTAGCTTTGACTTAGCATTTGAAGAGAAACACGTCTCTTACAATAGAAATTACCGAGTTGAGAAACGGATACCGACTTTTGATTCGGAGAATGTGATTCTCGTAAAAATGAAATTCATATTCTTTCGTTGGTTAATCGAAAATCTCGTTGCTGGTAATTTTTTTATCAATAGTAGATTTTTGAGATATATTATTAGGAATGTCATTACCCCTTCCTTTAGTTTGTTGGATTACCGGCGTTTTGGACTAAAATACCTTTAGTTTTTTTTCTAAAATATTATTCTTCTGTAATAATAAAAATTATACGAATGTTAAATTAGAAATTTATCTTTAAACTATTTTAGATTACAAAAAAAAATATAATTTTATATGAAGTTCAAGGGTTAAAATAAAATTTTATCCTTTCATTAAACTTTTTTATATTTAATTTTGTAAACAAAATTATATAAATTTTATGAATTTAAATTTTTTAAAGGAAATATATAAATTTTTCAACTTGTTAAAAATAATATAATAATAAGAATAATTGGTCAAATATACATTCTAATAATCTTTTATTCGCTTAACTAAATACGGTAATCTTACATTCCTGCTAAACCAACCAAACACAAAATACAACATTCCCAATAATCATATTCCCTGATAATATTTTATTCTCGTTTGTAATCTTACATTCCGTGAACCAATCGCACCCTTAAAAATCATAGTTTAAAGGAAGTCGAGTAGAAAGAAATGTAGACGATTATTTTATTCAGATCAGTTTTAAAGACGATATTCTCTTTAAGAAAGAACATATAATTATACACACACGGATAAAAAAAATCAACCGAGGATAAAAAGCTTGCGAGAAATGGTACACCATCGGACGTACGAAGCATAGAGGTTGGGCCAATCGGAGGATGGGCCAATCGGAGGATGGGCAGTACGTGAAATGGTAAAGCCAGAGCGACAACACTTGCTCTTGTTCCTCCCCGTCGAGCTTCTCGATGGCGTCTTCCAACACCTTCTCGAGCTCGATTCTTTCGTTGACGCTCAGAACCGGCACGTCGCTGCCGATGCTCGCTCGGCATAACAACGGCAGCCACGATGTAATCATCTTCAATTGCCTCGGCTTCTCTTTGGTGCCTTCTTCGCTTTCTTCTTCCACTCTCGTGTTCTTAGCTTGCATGAATAAAAATGCTGCATTTTTATTATCATTAATTAAGCAAATAAAATTAAAAAAAAAGAGATACTTGATTTCATCAATTAAAGATGATCTGACTATAAATTTTATAATTCTAGTTTTCAAAACTTAATTAATCCTTTAATTTTATAAAAATTGATTTTTTATATTATATAAAAATTGAAAGCTTGTCATTATTTAAAAACTATTAATTTAAAGATTAATATATTTTTTTTTTTTTACAATTTAAAGATCAATAATTTATAGAGAAATCTCTTACCACTCCAATAATATAGTATTTCACAATGTCTAATATGACTAATTTTTAAATTTCATGAGGACTGATTTTGATACATTAAAAACAAGGTTATTTTTCAATTTGTAATAAAATAGAGGGCGAAACTCTGAATTAAACCGATTAACAGGCAAAGAATATACCCGAAACTTTGACAAGAGAACCTTGAAGGCGCTGCTCAGCCATGAGAGAAAGCGAAGCCAAATTCGAAGCCGACGCCCATCTCTCAACAGCCTCGTCGGCGAAACCACACGGCCAATTTCTGCGCCAACCAAAGCATCTCCGCCGCCAGTCTTCTCCGCCCAGTTCCCGGACCGGTTCATCCTCTATCCCCGTCCCCACTCTAGAACTCCACACCCCATCCCCCACCGATCGAACCGCCCTTAAAACCCTTATCATCTGATACTGAACCGGTCCAACTCCCGACCCACCTCCGTAACCCGCCATTGCAGCTTCGAGCTGACCAATCGTCCTCGAAAAAGCCGCCGACAAAGCAACACGATTAACTTCACGTAAAGCCTCGACGCCTTCCCTGTTATTCTCCTCGACAAGCCTCTCAGCCAACGACCGAACGATCTCGTACTTCCTCGAGCTAACCGGAATGTCATTAACACTCGACAGTACCTGCGAAAGCGCACGAGCGATCCCCGAATCCCAATCCCAGGACCGGACCCGATGGCGTAAACGCCGGTTTTTCTTGGCTTGAGCGAGTAATCATCGTCTTGTAGAGAGAGCAGATTCGAAGGGACGAACCTCAGAAAGAAGAGAAAACAAGAGACCATGAGGTAACGAACCATTTTAAGCAGCGAGTACCTTTCGGAAAAGTAAAAGAGGGATTTATCGGCGTAAATCAATACACGAAACACCAAATTTCGAAGCAGCAAAGGAACTAAGCTCTTTGGGGTATTCCCTATCAAACCCATGGTTTCTTTGTCTTTCATTTGACTGAACATGGTGTTCCCTCTGGAAAGGGTAATGGGGGAAGACGAAAGGGCGGAGTATTATAGATTGTATGAAGGAGATAAAGAGACTATTGGGTGGTTGAAAATGTTTAATACGAAGATGGAGACCTGTGGGAAAATGTTTAGGTGAAGCTGGAGACTTGTGGGAAATAAATTTTGCCCTTTTGAAGCCTGGGTCCGGTTTGGTTGATGATTTTGGTTGCTATCAGGCTTTAAATTATGATTTTGGGACTTTAATCACTATGGAAAATCGAAATTATTTTAATGATTAAAGAGATGATTGTTATTTTTACGAGTCTCTAACTTTAGGTTTAAGTACAATATCTTTGATAATGTTTAAATATCTATTATCAAATAATTAAGTTTTTCGAACAAATATCGTTTGATCAATTGGAATTAACGTGGTAAAAGAATAATAAATATGCAACTAACCCTTTGTCACCGTGCCATGTTACGATAAAAATGATAGCGAGAGTGGTACAAATGAAACATCCCACCTTTAAATTTCCAATGCCATAACCATTTCGGTATTTCAAGTCTCGATCACCTATTTAATTTAAGTACAGTGTCATACTTTTTTATATAAATTGATTCTACAAATTCAATTCCAATTATAATTTATTCTTAAAAATGTTTATAATATTTTAAATACCTTATTTGTAATCATAAAGATATTTTCTGCTTTGGATTCTCAGATTGATTTGAATACGTGTTTTACGTTCGTTGATAGTTTTTTAAGTTGCTTACTCTGATCTGTGATTTGTCGATGGACTTCAGTATCTTTATCCCTCTTGTGGTTCGTTTTCCGATGCACTCATATTTGTTTCTATTTTTATTTTGTTCGAGCTTTTTAATTAGATTTTTTAACATTTTTCTTATTTGGTTCTTGTGTGATCTAGGTAGTTAGTTTTTGTCAATGATTATAGAAAAATATCATAATTATAATTTGTTTACATTTACATTATATTTGTAATTTTTCATTATAGTTCTGAATATTTTTTATTTTTAATAAAATTAGTGGATTTTTATTAAAAAAAATCATTCCAAATATATAATATATTCTCCCTTTGTTAAATGGCCCATCTCTCTAATTCTCAACCAAAGAAACCACCATACGTACGTACGTACATAAATAATATATTAAACAAATATTGTGATTAATTTTTAATTTTAGAATATTTTAATTATAATTTAATATGAAATAACTGGAATTGAAATTTTAATCTGTTTTGCTTTCTAGGGAGAGAGGGGGAGAGAATTTCTATCGTGCGACAGTCTTAATATACGGTTAAGGAAATATGTTATGATTTTGTTATTATTTTTTAATAAAATCAGTAAAAAATTATCTAAAATATTATTATTTCTACCTAAAACATTAATATTTTTTTAACATTTTCGGTAAAGTGTCTAATAATAACAAAATCAATAGAAAAAATAACAAAACCGATAGCGCTTTACTAGATATATTAACAAAACCGGTAAAACGTCTAATAATAACAAAATCAGTAGAAATAATAATGTTTCTGATAATTTTTTACCGGTTTTAATAAAAATAATAATAACAAAACCAGTAACATATTTCATTAAACAAAACCAGTAACATATTTCATTAATCGTATATTAAGGCTGATTCACGTGAGATTTAATGAGAGAAGAAGAAGTACCTATGCTGCAACACGTGGGTAGTTAAGCGGTTTAATCTAAGATCAAGGAATAGTAAGAAAAAACGCAATTAAAAATATTATAAAAGAAGACATGTTTGTTCAGTGGCTTAATACAAAAGGAAGGGTTCAAATTATGCATTGTCTATTTTTTTTAAAAAAAATAAGTATTTAATATTTTTTTAGTTATAATTTTAATTTCTATCATTATTTTTTAATTTTTTTAATAATAAATATTTTATTTTTAAAAAAGAAAAAAAATTAAAAAATACTTAATTTATTTATAAAAATCCCAAACTTTTACTGAAATTATAAAAAAATCCTAAAACTAAAAATTCTCATTTCAACCCCCATTATCAACCATTTTCGGCCATTTCAAGTTGTCGTCTTCATCATCGAACGGTTGGATTTTAATCGGAATTGCACAGTGGTTCGAATGATGGTAGTGATGTGGCTTATAAACGTCGAATTCGGCCAGAATCGACGATGAACTGCGACGGTTCGACAAACCTTTGAACGTTTCTCCAAGACAAACGATGGCAGATTACGATGAAAGGTCAATCAAGGTTTGATCAAGAGTCGATGTCAATGCTGATGACGGTGGTGGTGATGGTCACGGCTGGCTAGCCGACGGTTGTGGAAGGGAGAGGGGAGGCACGAGCTGTTATTTTGGGGGGGGAATAGATTTTTTAAATTTTTAAATAAATTCTCAAAATTACCAGAATATGACATGTGTCACTTAATAAATATTTTTAACCGCAGTTAACATCCGAACACCTAAAAATGTAACGTTGAAAACATTAGACATCTATTTTTAACAAAAAAAATTTAGGCATTAAAATATTTTTCGATGCATAGTTTTGACACTTATTTTTGTATTAAGCCTTGTTTTTCGAGGCATGGTTCTCCATGACAAACTAAATATTCCAAAAATAATTGTCTTTAAAATTTATATATTTGAAACTTCAAATAAATGCTTTGAAATTTATGTAATAGTATAATTATTCATAAAATTCAATTGTTTGTTAAACGATTTCAGTGATAAAATATAATATTATTTTTTCAAGAGATGTTCGATTTGAACATCTACACTTAAAAAATTTGTATATGTTACCAAGATGCTAAAAATATTCTAAAAAAACACTACCTTATAATCACTTATTAAATGACATTAAAATTCAAAAAGCTGAGCTTATTAAATGATTCTAACGATAAAAAATAATATATTTTTATAAATTTTATATATATATAATATTATCTTATAATCATTGTGGACTATTAAAATTGACATTATTAAATAAACCTCCAAAATATTCTTAGTTAAAAAAAAAACCCAATCAGTCTACGTAGGACTACTTCGTATTTTGTAAAATATGAGATCCGATATTAAATTTTAAAAAATACCTCACATTATGCAAAAACACGAGATTAATTAGAAATTGAATTCATCATCATGTTATATCAAAACAAACACACTTTCTACAAAAGGCAAGTTCCATTGACAACTCATATCTACAAAAGGCAAGTTCCATTGACAACCATATGTAGAGCACATCTAAAAACAAACTTTAATTAAATTTGACAAAAATTATACTATAGGAACTAAAAATGTAAATTAATACACTTTAGCTCCATGAGTTTATATAGGCATAGTGGAGTGTCTAGCCTATGTTTACTATCAATGTGGGATAACATGAGTTCTTCTATCTTTTCTCATGTATTTTTTTAATTTTTTACTTTTAATTAATCCATATATGAACTAAAATTAAATATAGAGGGGTATTATTGTAATTATTCTTAAACATATAAGATAAAATTATATTTTTTTCAGGTCGGGTCGGTATTTTCATCCTAAACCCGAATCCGACCTGACCCAAACATCACACTTAAAAAAATCCGACCAGACCTGAACCCGTTTTTTTAAAAAAAACCCAACCCGACAGTCAAGTCGGAACCCATCGAATTCGGGTCCCATGCCCATCCCTATGTGTTGGGTTGGCTATGGAACTCGCTCTTTGTAAAAATTAAAAAAGCAAGTCTATTTTGATATAACTTGATGATAATTTCAAATTTTCGTAAATCTCACGTTTTGTATAACACGGGATATTTTTTCAAATTTAATATTAGATCTCGTATTTTGCAGAACGTGAGATAGTCCTATGCGATCAGTTTAGGGAGTATTCTTTTCAAGTAATGGCTGATGAGAGGTATTTTTCTAACTAATGAATATTTGGTTTTTTATTTAATAACGCCACTAAAATTACCACACAAGCATAAACAAAATCATGAAAATGGGTATATAAGAATTTTACTTACCGATCCACCAAAACCCAGAGCCGAGCAAAAGTTGAATGGTCCAATTCTAGTTCAGTACATAGTACAATAGCTTATAAAAAGGGTAAACTATCATCTTTGACCGGTAAATTATGAAGTAGATGTTATTTTGACCATTAAATAAAGCTTTTATCAATTTGGTCATCATACTTTTAATTTAATTTCAATCAAGTAGCTACAATTAACCGTTAACGAGATTAATGACGCGATAGTTAAATAAATTTATATAGTAATACATTTGATCATAAATTTTATAAATTCTATATATTTAATCTTAATTAAGATAATAACACGTTCTGTCCTCAATACTTATATATTATATTAATTTAGTCCTAATCTTAATTATAAATAATTTAATAAATTTAATCCGTAATAAGATGACATATCACGTCAAAACATTTTTCTTGTTGGAAAAATTATATTGTCCAACACGAGAAGGTCACGAGACTTGAAACAAAATTCACAAGACAAGAACATATTTGTTTAAAATTAAATGGAGGATGATAAATATATTATTTCTTAAAAAGAGATTTATTCTCATAATCCGAGGGCCGTGGGTAGGTATTAGGGGTGCAAACGAGCCGAGTCGAGCTCGAATATTGCTGAGCTCGACTCGCGAGTTTAAAATTTTCAAGCTCGACTCGAACTCGAAATCATGAACTGAAGCTCGTGAGCAGTTCGAAAATGTTCGAAATGAAAAAAAAAATCTTAAACTTAACTCGAACATGAACCTTAAATACATGAAATCTTACTGTATTTTTTTTTAAAAAAAAAGCAATACATAAATATTAATATTATTATTAATTTATTTTTTTAATAAAATCTTAATATATTATATTTTCGAGTTGATCACGAGCTTTTCGAGTCGAATATCGAGTAGCTCGTTTAAGCTCGTTAAGAACTCGAGTCGAGCTCGAGTCGAGTCCATTCGATCCGAGTATTTATCGAGCCTTAATCGAGTCGATCTCGAATAGCTCGCGATCTGTCTCATCTCATTTATAGCCCTAGTAGGGATGGGCACGAGTCGGGTTTAGGTCAGTTTTTGGTTGATCCAACCAGACCTGAAAATTT